ATTAGTCAATCTATTCTTATATTTCTTATATTTTAGTTCAGCTTCCTTTGTTCTGTATTTCACCAATTCTCTATATAGAAAATTCTTTTTTTTACATGCATTTAATAGCCCCTTTGTCATCCATGGTTTTGCCTCCAGATTGTTCTTTATTTTAATCAATTTATTTGGGCAGTTTTTATCATACAGCGCTTTGAATATAACTAAAAATTGCTCATAAGCTTTATCCAGATCGTCTTCTCTATAAATCAATTCCCAATTCTGTCTCAAAAGGTCCTCTTTAAATAACCTTTTAGTTTCATCATTAATCAACCTTGTGTAAACATGTGTAGTCTTTACTTTTTTTTCCCTTAAGGTGGCAATCGTAAATTAAAAATACTGGTAAATGATCACTAATGTCGTTGATCAAGAGTCCACTTACTATATTGCTAATGTTAATATTGGCCAGTCATTGCTTTATTTTGGAATAATGGTTATTACTATAGTGCTCAGTAATGTTTTGATTGTGTATAATGGCTTTAAGAAAGTCACGCTACTTCCCATCTTAGTTTTTTTGGGAAAAAAGGTTCTGAAGAGTTTGGAAGGACACGGTTTTCTTACCGTAGGTCTGTAACATGTTTATTTTGGGACATCATTCAATTCAACGTATGTTATATAATGTGGAATGTTGTTATGTTCGTCTTTTCACCAGCTAATTAAACCAAGATATTATAATATTCTTGCAATTGTTGTGGTAGTGGACCTTTATGTGGCTCGCTGAAATGAATATGACGCAGGAAGAGAAAAAGGACATGTGCACAGAGCGAGTAAGACACGTTTGCTATCATCTTTAGAAAATTCAACCTCCACAGTTTTGTTTGTTTATTTTGTCTTGTAGTTTTATTAAAGTATTCCATAATGATTCTTTGCCAACAGAGTTTTAACATGAAATCCCAAATGTATTTGGATTATTAGTTTGAATACAAGTTTTAATGTATTAATTCACATTAATGATGTGCAAAAATCATTTGGTCACAATTTTTTTATTTATTTTTGAAAATGTTTTTCTTTTTATTAGTTTCACAGGTTTAAACCTTTTACCATGTCTAATGTTGAATGTTCTTAACTGAGTGTCTCGCATTTATGTTTGGTTTTTAAAATGTGATCATTAAACTCGTTATAAAAATGACAAAACAGAAGTTGAGCCAGCAGTCTGCACACAGGTAGCTGCTCTCTAGAAACATCTACCTGATGACAGAAGTCTCTTACTGCCCTCTGCTGTCTCTCAGCTGTCAGTGTAAAGTTGGCAGTAGTAGTTTCAGGCTAATAATATTCTTTAAAAAACCTTGTATAACAAGTTTAGAGTTCAAAGTTCGAGCTAGAGCTGGAAAAGTTCTGAATACAAATCTCTGTCTTTCTTCGTGTTGTGTTGCACTCCACGCTTCACTGACTGTTTCTTAAAGTTAAGGAATAATAAATAGTCATATTTTATTAAGGCAAATCTCTTCCTGATGCCTTCTCCCTAAAGACATCCACGCTGATACAGTTATCTTAGTTTTCTGTCTTGTTTTTTATGTTTTAACTCTGCACGTTAGTATAACGGCTTGTTTTGGTGACTGTTGCAGGTTTCACTGCTGTAATCTGATTTATTCTCCGTGTTAGAACTACAATGGGGATTTAAAGAAGGTCGAGCCTTGTGTTTTAAAGTTCAGTAATGAGTCCAGTGTCACTGACTGATTCACCTTTGATTTTCCAGAGACAAAAGAGGTTTCCTGATGAAACTGCACTAGTCAGTTTTTATGTGGGTACAATGAGTCACAAAATAACAATAAAAGTTGAAAGTTTTGTCACTGAACTTTTCATAAATGTTGGGACAGACAGAGCAGCACAAACCAAAGAAAACATTTTCTATAGAAGGTAGAAAAGCCAGATGAGTGATTTCTATTTCTACCTCAGTGTTTGTTGGTTAAAGTCTGAGTTTGAGCACAAACATTTCTGATGTGTGTGTTATGCAGTTTTTCTCCAGGGCCAACATTTATAAACTTGATAAAATCGGTCCAATCCACAACCTGTTGACTATTGATTAATCAAAGTCCAGATGAAAGTACATGTTTGTTTTCTGTCTTGACTAAAAACCAGCTGTATGAGCATCATCTCTGTGACTAACAGACTCGTGCACCCGTGCTGTTCGCTGTGGTTCAACCTCATGGTGAGTTTTCAGGTTGGTTTTAAACTTTAATTCAAATCTGGACCCACATGACACTTGACTGTCAGATTACATGTGCTACTGTTAACATGCACATCGCAGTAGATAAGGTTTGACTTTGAACTTGTCTGATTAGTGAAGAAGGTTTCAAGCCCAGAGCCCTGGATGATCTCTACACTGCTCCAGGATGGTTCAACCTGTTTACACTCAGAGCAGATTACAAAAAAATCCCCCGTGTTACTGTTTATCAACACAAACCTTCTGGTTGGTTAAATATGACATTCAAACCTGACTGTGACCATCAGTGATGTGATTCTGGTTTGCGTCTCCAGATGAAGCTGTTACTGCTGCTGCTGGCTCTGTCCTGGGCCAGTCTCCAGGACACGGTGGGGACCAGTTCACAGCCCAGAGATGGTAAAAACACATGAGGTTCTCTGTGATGTAACTGCACGTGGCACAAAACTGTTCCCACCTGTGAGTCTCTTACATTAGAAAAGGGCTGCTGCAGTAAATATGTTTCCCATACAAATCCTATGAACAGTGGTTACAGCTATAAGTTATTGCACTAGCGCCGCCCAGAGGGGAGGAGGTCAAACACTTTGTGTCCAGGATGTGATTGATTGATTGATGGATGGATGGATTTGGTCTCAACACTTTCCCTGCTCTTTTCTACAGCCTCTCTGCTTGACAGAGTTCCTGAAATCACAGGCACCACATCAACAACAAGACTGCATCTGCATCCTGCTCACTTTAAACAGAAGAGACAGGCTCAGTCGTCCTCCTCAGTGTCTGATTATGGCAAACTGAAATGGCAGGAGTGGTCCCTGGACAGTGGTTCTGTCCCCAACGGAGCTGTTTCCATTTACAATGAAAACACTCAACGTATCGAATATGTTTGCCATTATAACTGCTACTGTGGCTCTTACAGCCCTGATCTAGGGAGCTGCCATGTAGAAGCCTCTGATGGCAACTCGTTTGGTAGCACCAACTTCCATCTCCTTGTGAATGAAGACAACTTTGAGATCCTGGAATGGAAGGATACTATTGATAGTTCACTGCCCCAACAGCCAGTCAGTACCTGCCCT